GGGGTGACGGATGCCTGGGGTCCAGAGCTCCGGACCCCCAGGAAAACGCAGGTCGCGGGGATCAGCAGAGAAGGGGGTGGGAGAAGGTATAAAAAAAAAAAAAGGGCAAGGGAAAAAAAAAAAAAAAGCCCCTGCGCATTGATCCGCGCCGTATTTTTGGGTAAATACGATCACGTGGGGGCCGGGGAGCCAATGAGCTGCGGGGAAAAGGCTGGAAAAATAATTACCTGCCTTGATTGTTCTGTGAGCAGATAAAAAGTACATATACAGTTCATACAATAATCTTATGTATGTAAAACCCCGTTACGATGTCGGCGACGGGGCCCATCAGTAACTATTACGTGGACTCGCTCATCTCCCACGACAATGAAGACCTCCTAGCGTCCAGGTTTCCGGCCACCGGGGCTCACCCCGCCGCCGCCAGACCCAGCGGCTTGGTGCCGGACTGTAGCGATTTTCCGTCCTGTAGCTTCGCGCCCAAGCCGGCCGTGTTCAGCACGTCGTGGGCGCCCGTGCCCTCGCAGTCGTCCGTGGTGTACCACCCGTACGGCCCCCAGCCCCACCTCGGCGCCGACACGCGCTACATGCGGACTTGGCTCGAGCCGCTGTCCGGCGCCGTCTCCTTCCCCAGCTTCCCGGCCGGGGGCCGCCACTACGCCCTCAAGCCGGACGCCTACCCCGGGCGCCGCGCCGACTGCGGCCCGGGCGACGGCCGCAGCTACCCGGACTACATGTACGGCTCGCCCGGGGAGCTGCGCGACCGCGCCCCGCAGACCCTGCCCTCGCCCGAGGCGGACGCGCTCGCCGGCAGCAAGCACAAAGAGGAGAAGGCCGACCTGGACCCCAGTAAGTTGGGAGCAATTTTCCTTTACAACCGGCGCGGGAGGGGAGGAGAGGCCGAGCGGGGGGAGCCGGATTACAGCCCCTCCGAGTGGCGCAGGGAGCGCGGGAGAGGGGTGAGGGCGCGGGGGCGAGGACTCAATAAAAGCGAATTACCTTGGGGAGCTTTCAGGGGCAGGAAGGTCTGAAAGGGGGCCCCCGAGGAGCCAGGTTGGGAGAGGGCTGAGGGGGGCTCCTCTCCCAGGAGCAGGTTTGGAGGAGAGACCCCCGCCCTCCACACCCCCAGCCCAGGCTTTTTGGCTCAGTCGTTACTTTCGAAGAAATGCAGACAGGGCCAGGGGCTGGGGTGGGGGCGAGGTTCATTTTATGGTTTGAGGTGGGATGGGGCAGAGATGAGGAGGACACTAGGGGCAGGGAGAAAATTCACCCTACCTCCCAGCCAGCATGGGGGGGGGGGGGCCTCACACCACTGGAGATTAATAAAACTCAAGGTCTATGGACTTCTCTCCCAGGACCACTGAGTGCAGGGTCTGGGGGAACTTGGAGAGACAGGACTTGCAGAGTTGGGGGAGAGAAGTGGGGTCCCAGCCTCAAACTTGCAAGCCCTCTTCTGAGGGTCTGCAGGAGAGAAGGTAGAAAATGGGGGTGTCAGGGATGAGGAGTGGGGAGAGACATCTCCCCTGATTAGAGAATTTACACACACACACACACACACACACACACACACTCCAATCTGGGAGACAGGAGCCTGTAAGTGTTGCAAAGAAGGACAGGGGTAGGTGGGGAGGGGCAGGTGGGAGCTGTAGGGCCAGGGAAAGGAGAAAGAAGGGAAATAGCAGGGGAGGGGTGCAGCCCCCCTGGGTGTGAGGAAGTGTCTGGGGGAGTCCCAGGAGGGGGCTCCAGGAAATCCTTTCCTCCAGCCCCATAAGGGGCCAGGGCCTAATTATACCCCTCTGAGCCTTCCCTCCTTGCCCTCAGCTACTCTCATAAACCTGAAATTGGAGGCTTAGCTCCTGCAGAGCCTGTCCTGGGGCTGGCAGGAGGGGTGGGGGCCCTGGAAGTCAAACAGGGAAGCTCACATATAGGGGGGGCTGATTCCAAGGCCAGCAGCTCTCTGGGGAAGAGGAGGAAGGCTTTTCCTAGCCCAGCATCACCCTGAGAATTCGCCTCAGCAGGGTTGAACTCGGAGAGCGGAGATGAGCAACAGCGCTGGAGAGGGTAGTGAGGGGCTTAGGGACTCTCAGGGTCAGGAAGCAGAACTGCTGATATTTCAGGACTTGGTCGTGGGCTGGGTGGATGGGAGGGGGCAAAGGAGGAGGGAAGTGGGGAGGAGAGAGACCTCACTATAAAAATAAAAAACAAGAGAGAGAAGCATTTATGGGCCTATGAAACGGTTGGGAATTTGGACTTTTTATGAGGATATTCTCCAGTTACTGCTCTTGAAGCTGAGGACCAGACTGTTGGGGCTTTGATAGCTTTGATTTCCTATAGTTTTAGGAAACTGAAGTAGGGGGACATGGGGAGGGGGGCAGAATGCAAAAGGAGTGAGGGGAAATGCCTACAGCAAAACGTGTCCAAATTCAGGTTCAATTATTGGGTTTTGATAGCCTGGCTAAGACTGGGGGTGGAGTGGCAGGGATCCTGGGCTGGAAAGGGTCTCCACTGACCCCTGCCTGTGTTTGGCCCTCCAGGCAACCCCGTGGCCAACTGGATCCACGCCCGCTCCACGAGGAAGAAGCGCTGCCCCTACACCAAGTACCAGACGCTGGAACTGGAGAAGGAGTTTCTCTTCAATATGTATTTAACCAGGGACCGTCGGTACGAGGTGGCCCGGGTTCTCAACCTCACCGAGCGGCAGGTCAAAATCTGGTTTCAAAACCGGAGGATGAAGATGAAAAAGATGAATAAAGAGAAAACCGACAAGGAGCAATCCTAAACCCTGCCCCGGCCTGCTGCCTCGGCACAGCCAAGGGAAAAACAAAAAACCCCACAAAAAACCCAGCCCAGGCGGGAGAGAGCACGAAAAAGGAAAGGAAAGAGCAAGAGAGAGAAAAGCCAATCAGCTTAAAAAGAAAAAAAAAAAGGAAAGGGAAAAGGAAAACTCTTGCGATTTGGGAGGGTTCAGTGTTGAGAAATTGGTGTTTTAGAGTTAGTTCTACCCAGCGAGGATCAGGAGGCGGGGAGAGAAACCGCATTCTCTTCTCCTGCGCAACTGAAATAAATGACACACACAATGTGATTTTTTTCCTCCTTTCTTCAGAGAAGCCAGTACTTGAATCGCTATATTTCTATTTTTTTTTCCTGTATCATATTTGGTCCGGGCCATCTCTCCCCAGGCCTGGGGTGCTCTGCGTGCAGATTTTGTACAAAAAAAGATACACATACACACACAATAATGATTCCCAGCCCGGGAGCTGAGGGGCGAGGGCCGGGGATGGTGCCGCAGGCTGGGTCCAGCGCGCAGGCCGGTGCCTCGGGCGTGTACATAGCAGTGTTTCCTATCATCCCCCTGCGTCCGTCCTGTAACGTGCTTCTGTTTGTTATGGTAGAACAGCTCTGTGTTAATATATGGAAGTCACTTAAAAAACCAGAAACCCAACTGCATCCAGTTCTCATTATTTCTCCTCCCTGTGGCTCCCAGGCTGCTGTCGTGGAGGAGGCAAGTGCTCAGATCCTTTGGGGGAGGCTGGAGCCAGGAAGGGGCTCTCTTGACCTCGGGAGGGCAAGTGCCTGCTGCTTCTCTCCAGGCTGGGTGGGGTGGGTGAGGGCTCCAGGGTGGGTGGAAGCTGCTGAGGCCTGGGTCCAGTTGTGCCTGCTCTGATAGCTGCCTAGGAGTTTCCTGGTAGCTCAATGGAGTCCAGGGGGGTGGGGGCATGGCATGAATGGCTTTCCCTCGCTGTAATTAATTGTAATAATTTATGAGTACAGGAGATCGGAGGGAAGAGATAGGTGAAGATGAAAGTTGGGTGCTGGGTGAGGGCCCGGGCTGGATTCTTGCCTGACTGCATCGGTGCTTCGAGGGATGGCTAGGGGGGTTGAGTAGGGAGGGTGTGCAGTTTAGAGGAGGAAGGCCAGCAGGCCTCAGGGAGAATAGGCGCTGAGGACTTCGTTGAGAATAAAAGGAGGAAGATGAGAGAGAGAGAGAGAGAGAGAGAGAGAGAGAGAGAGAGATATTAAGGAAGGAGAAAGATGGCAAAGCCAATAAAATCAGAATTAGATTTAGTTTTTACTTCTCAGTGTATTCTCTGTCTCTCTAATGGTTAGTTTGAATGTTGGTCTTGGGTGCAGGGGTTATGCTGTGCAGCTGCAGCATTTCTGGGGGGTAGTGTGGCCAGGGCCCAAGGAAGCTACTCAGGGATTAGTCAGGCGTGGAACGTTCTCTGGTGGCTGAAGGACCCCAGGCATAAGGAGGTAGAGATGTGTGTCTGACAGCCCGGTGGGACTGTCAGCTGCACTGTACCCCAGAGTGCCCTCCCCAGAACTGGCAGTTTCATCTGCTAATCAGAAGCAGACACAAGCTGCAGGGTATGCCTTTGCCTGGGCGCCCCCTTTCTCGGAAATCCCCCAATCTGGAAACTATTAAACTCAGACTGCCTGAAATATAGCCCTTTAATATCTCAGGCTGCCCATTCTGGAGAGGGTGCAGGGTGTTGCTCTGAATTCTTGGGGTGTATCATAAAAGAAAATAATTGGGGACCCTAGGCCTTGTGCAGCTCCCTGGGCCATTGCATTGTCTTACAGGATTGGTGAGGCACTTGTAGG